CACGCTCTTCCTGATTTTCTAAATCCTCGTCGAGCAAAATGTCATATAATAATTTTGATTTTGATGAGGGGGTCCCCATTTGAAGGTTACACATTGATGGAGAGAAGGAAGAAGACATGCCCCTTTGAGGTGTCAGCCAGCTTTGACCTGTCAGTGAGATCATGCTAGGAAATAGAATCAAATGTGAAGGGCATATTTTTCAAAGACTAAAAAGCCCATGGGAAATTCCTGTTGAACTTGAAGGTTGGTTAATCTGAGGCCACGAGAAAGGGTGACAAAGGGACACGCTTTAGTGGCCAAGGAGAAATCAGAGGAGTCATGGCCCATGGTTGTATCATTATCATGTATGTAACTTTCAGTGGTCGCCCCGCCGGCCTGGTCAGCTCTCTTCTTGACCGTTGACCGGTTTTCACCGAATCCTTTTTTTTTTTCATTCCAAATTTTTTGGATTAGATTTTTTTTTGGGTAATATTGCATGTACATATAATGATTTTAAATATAAAATATTTTGTATAATATGACATGATATTATGAATAAATAAATACTGAATTATGCATAACACCTAAATAAAAAAAATTAATCATAGAAAAATATATTATAGAATATAAATTATTATACTTAAAATTAAAGTTATTGTTTTTTTTTTTTTTTGTATGAACCACCCAATATTTAGAAGTTTACTGGACCACCGATTAATCCGGATTTGAGTTAAGTAAAACCCAATGAATGACAAAATTCTCCTTTACGAGTTTTAACAAAACAGCATTCTCAAAATTTGAAATCAAAATTTTTGGTTAAACTAAAAAGTTCTTCTACCAACTTATCCATCTGCTAATGGATAAAATTAAAGTTATTGTATATGTCGATTATTTTCCCTTTTTTTTTCACTTGGTAATGTGTCACGCCAAGCCCTACAACACCGAATGTACAGAGTACTAATGATCCATTAAATAAATTATTTTTCAGAGTCAATTTGAAGTAATAACGACAAAGAGGATGCTCCCTTCGGACCCTTCCGCCTCCCTTTAAGATTGCCATATATTCTTTCAATTTTCTTTTTTTGGATGAACATATTCTTTCAATTTTCTTATAATTTCCTTTACTTTTTATAGTATATTACTAAATTCGTACAATGTTCTTGACTACATCTTAGCCAAATAAGACTACTATTTAAAAATAATGGCAAGCATTTCCATTGGCATCAAAGTCCTATCCTAAGCTTTACTTCATAACCCAGACATCCCAGGTGCACATTTGAAGGTTACTCTCTTTCTCTCTTAAAATAATAATTATTTTTTAATTTAAAATCTATGATAAATTAATTGTCATTTTTCTAATTT